CCTGCCCCCCCCCCCCAGCCCTTCTCTCCTCCCTGTGCCCACTCCTCCAGTAGCCCCACTCTGATCATGTGAGCTACCCCTCCTCATCCCCTCGCCCAACACCTCCCTCTACACACCTGCCCTGCCTCTCTCCTCTGGTGCTGGTCCCTCCCCTGCAGTTGTCTGCCTTTCTGCTTCACCCCAGAATCCCCTGGCACCTGCACCTTCCCTTACTGCCCCTGCCCCCTTTGCCCTCTTTTTCCCTGATGCTCAGCCCCTCACCACTCTCTGTCCAGTTCCCCTCCTGCCTCTGTGCCCTCACACATGACTTGCTTTATCCCCACCTTTCTCATGCCCACCCCTTCTTTCAAGCCTTCTCCCAGCACCTCCACCTCCTCCCTCTAGCCCCCAATGCTCTTCCCCTCTCCTCTCCTCTCCTCTCCCCTCACAGCATCACCCTGTCCCCCCTCCCATTGACACCTCCCCTCCTGCCCTTTTCCTCATTGTCTGTACTTGGCCCCCGGGCATTTGTCTCTCCTCCACCCTGTCTCTTGGTGCCTTCCTCTTTCTTCCCCCTCTGCACAAGCTCCTTCCTCTCCTCCCCCTCCCCCCTCCGCACAAGCTCTTTCCTCTCCCCCCTCCCCCTTCGCACAAGCCCCTTCCTCTCCTCCCTCCCCCTCCACACAAGCCCCTTCCTCTCCTCCCTCCCCCTCTGCACAAGCCCCTTCCTCTCCCCCCTCCTCCCTCCGCATAAACCCCTTCCCCCTAGTTTTCCCCCTCCCCTACCTTCTGCCTTCCACTTTGCGGGGCTAGAGTCTGCGCTCGGGCCCCGGGCTCCGAACCAGGGGAGATACTCTGCTCCACATATTGCTGGAGGAGGGCCCTGGCTCTGAATATTAACTTGCCGCCCATGGCGCCCGGCCCACTTCCGGGTTCAGGGCGTGGGGCCCCTTTAGGCATGGGAATCGGGCAAATTGGCCTAAGGCCGGCCCTGCAGTAAGCACAGGGAATCCGAGCACCAGCGGAGGGGCATTTGGGGGCGGGTGCAGGAGCAGCTTCATAAGCCGCTCTTTTGGAGGGCAAGAGCCACATGTGGCTTGTGAGCCGCGGGTTGGCCACGGCTGTAGTAAGTGCTGCATAACACTAAGTGCTCAGAAAAATCAGGTCATAGACATTCCATATTAGGCACCCCAACATAGTGAAAACTTTTGATCTTCATCTCTCTGGCACAGAGCCAAAAAAAATTTAGCCTTCAAACTTCCATTGATGTCAATGGCAGTTTGGAGCCTTCAGGAGCAGTTAGGACTTGGGCCTCAGCTACTTCTCTGTAAAATGGGGTAACCTGCCTCAGAGGAGCATTGTGAAAATTAATTGATGTTTGTGAAGCTCTCATGCCCAGATCTTTAAAGATATTTAGGTGCCTCACTCTTATTTACATAGCTTTGAGAATCTGGGCCTCAGGTGTAATAGTAATGACACCTTAGAAAAGCCCATGAGGAAATGAATAATTGTGTCTTGTGAGCACTGTTTGACTAGTGTGCTGTAAATAAGATGTAGGGCCACACACTGAACAAAGAGGATAAAACAAAGTGTTAAATGCCTGCTGAGTCAGTGAGCACTGTCCATTCTGTGCCTTGACTGATGCAGGGGTTCTGTGGAAAAATAGGATGTGGTCATGTGATTAAAGACTGCATGACAGCACATATGCACAAGGGCAGCGAATGTACAGGCAACCTTAATTCTGGCTTTGCCTAGCTTCCGAGTGCTTGACTTTGCAACATCAGCAGTGCGCTTCTAAATCAGCTTTTTGTGTCTGATTTGATATTTTTAGTACAGTGACATTCAAGAAGTCCCAATCAGCTTCCATTGTGGCAGATGAAGAATAAACATAGTGGAAAACAGATCCTGCTCTGAAAAGCATACAGTCTTAAAAGACAAGAGATATACAAAGGCTGGGGGAAAGAGATACCATTAGACATGTACAACTTTTATATAACTATTTGGAATTATGAGTTGACTTTTCCCAACTGCTCTTCAGTCTTGCTGTCATACATTGGCAGGCTTTCATGTAATTGTTGCAGCACAAGAGGGTCATGAGAAGGGTTCTGAAATAGTAGAAGGCACCATTGCATGTCTGGTCATGGAAGGTGTTACCTGCGTAAACAGGGGTTGCCTGAGGTGGACTGTTGGCAGCTGGCACCCCAGGCGGAATGCGCGATCAGCTCCCCTGCCTCTAGGCTGCCCCTGTGTATAAGTGAAGTCTGGAAAAAGAAGTGACACAACTGAGCAGAAACCATTCTGAAATGTGAAGAAATTAGAGTTGTAATTAAGGGTGGTCAAAAATTTCCTACTGGGACTTATAGTGGGAAATTGGGTTTCTGACAAAAAAATTTTAAACGGGACATTTCTGATTTCTTAGAACACTTTTGATTTTTCATCAGAAGTCCAAATCCCAACCTTGCAGGCCAAAAACTGGTTTCTCTTTTTCAGGTGAAAATGTTCAGTCTGCAGCAGTGTTTGGGTGAAATTTTCTGGGTATTTGGTTGCCAAAACTGGAAAACATTTTTTTTTTTAACAAAAATAATCAAAACTTTCTGACCAAAACCCTTCTGATTTTCTGACTACCGTATTTTCCGGCATATAAGGCGACTGGGCGTATAAGACGACCCCCTAATTTTTTAGTTAAAAGATAGGGTTTCGTCTTATACCCCAGCGCCCCTCCGCCTCCCCGGCTTTGCTCCCGGTGTCCCTGGTCTGCTGGAGACGGTCCCCAGCAGACCAGAGGCA